CTGTGTTTTCTTTGCTTCAACTCTGACCGTTCAACATCCAAAAGACCGACCACTGAGCCAATCCAAATCTCTTGGACCGAGGCATCTTCAGCATTTGCGTGTTCTTTTCACAAGAAAACTGGCCACCGACCGGCATGACGTTACACCCCGCCGCGCGCCCCCCCCGCCGCCGCAGGTGCGCATGCCGCGTCCTCGCTGAGCACAGCCACGCTGGGCATCATGGCTGTCTCTGCAGCCTGTGCCTGGCAGGAGCGGTTTCAACAGCGAAGTTGGCGCGGTGCGCGGAATCGATTCCGCACTGTTAGAGTCGGCAAGGTGCGGGGGTACCCACCCAAAAATACCAGATTGTAGCCTATTTTTCCTACTCCGAAGTTCGGGCCCAGGTGTTTATTTTGGCATGAAGGGTGCATCGCTAGGTGCCAGGATCCACCCTGCAAAAGCCATTTCACGTCCAGTCTGCACGAGAGCCAACGTGGTCGGCACGTGGAGCAACCGGTTGTCCAGTGAACTCGTGAAAGGCTGAAACCAATACTGTACATGTCAATACATGTCAATACTTGTTTTTTGCAGAAAATGTTCCAATCATCACTAGCCCTACCGCCCGGACCAGATGGCTTGTTAAGGTCTAACCGTCACTAACCCTACCCTCTTCCCTCCTTTGGGGCACGTTCTAAGTTATATCGGGATTGAAATTGACCGTCCGGCCTGCTGCGCTGTTACATAAAAGGACTTGAGAATTCAATCCATGCTGGAACCAAACATGTCAAGAAAAGAAGTGAGTGTCGGGAAAGCTTTATGCCACGGAACGCTGTATTGAAGGATTCCAAGAACGAAAAAAGTTTAACCCTTCTTCATCGTTCCAGACCGCCCACTGCGCCGCTCGGAGTACAAACATGTTCAAACCTCTGAAGGGTTGAGGACTTGGGGACACTGGTTTGCCAACGGCTGGTGGCAAGTGGTGCCGGCTAGGTGCTGCCAGCAGGTACTCATGAATTCGTTAGGATGTCCAGAAGCAATTTCTATAGAATAGATAATAGCTTGAATCCATACGTGCATCAGTCTGCCAAAATGTTCTCTTGACCCATAGCACATGTTTGCAGATTCAACGCCAAGAAGTCCAGCAGAAACTCGCCCAAAGGCATGTTCGATCCGGGGTCTCAGTCTGAGACAGCTTCATCAAAAGGCCAAAAAACATGGCTGCTGGGCTTGCATCAATGCAAACCATCAAATCCTTGGCAGCTTCTCTGCCAGAAACCCTGTGGTTCACCACCTCCCTCGGTGTGCCACCTTGCCCAAATCCAACTGAACTTCCAAACGAAATCCCGAGTTTTTGTTGACCATGTGCTTTTCGATTTCATCCCCGCTCGCGCTGCAGCCACAGATGCCCAGTTGAAGAACCACCGGGTGTGAATCCTCCACTGCTGCCTCGACCGGTTCTCTGGGAGCCGATCTCCGATCAAGCCATGACCCCTACGGCAACCAGCTGGTGGTTTTTTTCAACAGATGACCACTGCCATTGGTTTCTGGGGCTCGTGTTGGGGCTGACTTTTCAGCCTGTGGTCCAACGTGTCGCCGGCGAGGCACATGCGAGCACAACCACCACTGGCTCATAGAAACCAGGTGCTGAAGAATCTCCAAGAAGGAAGGGTGCAAAGGGTCTTTTCTCATGTAATTGAAGCACAGATCCTTGCTTTCTCTGGTACTGGTGGTGGTTATTCTGAATCTGAGGATTTGTCCCAGTTTTGAAGGCCTGGCCCCAACACAAACCCAGAATACTGTCAATTTTTGTGCCAACAGGAGTGAGTCTAATGGTGTTGGTTGGATCGTTGACGAAGCCTCAAGCCTCTTTGCAAGCTAAGTCGTGAGCATGGTGCGAACACGCACGTCTGTCCCCAATTTGGAAGGCCTGTTTTGCTGGACCTTGAAAAAGTCCATATCAGTTGACACTACTTCGCAGGAAGCCCTTCACCTTCACTCGTCACAGGTCGCTTCGCCCGAGAACATGGACCTACACTCTGTGAAATAATCATAGAAGTGGAAAACCACAAACCACAGTAACAAGAAGCTACTAGGAACAAGTGCATCGCTAGTAGTAACAAGTGCCTTACTAGTAGTAACAAGAAGCTACTAGGAAAAGCCACAAAACCACCTGCTTGTAGAGCAAAAAATGGTCATCCTTTCGGGGCCATGCCATCCACTTCCGTGACTCCAAGTGTAATTTGTGCGGCGAACATGATGACATCCGCTGCTCCAAGTCCAAGTGACTGCTCCACAAAGGGCATCTGCTGCCGATGGGCACGACCCTCACTGCTTCAAAACTCGCTCGACAGTTGTGTGTATTGGGGCTTGCTGCCCGCAATCGACATTGCTTACCCAAGGGTAAAACAGATCTCAAAGTGAAGAGCGGGGAGATGTTGTCCTTTGTTCTTTATCCTGTTGTGAGACACACGAAAATAGACCCCCTTTTTTGCCGTGTGTCCATTACAGCTAAAGGGACCCTCTCTTTATACAATCTCCAGCCGGTTCCTAGTTCAAATGTTATTCATCAAAATTGGTTCACAATCATGCGGCATTTGCACGGCAAATGTGGCACAGACAGACAGACAGACAGACAGACAGACAGACAGACAGAGACAGACAGACAGACAGACAGAGAGAGAGAGAGAGAAAAATCGCACCTTGCACAATGAACTAACCTACGTGAGCGGCCATTACCACCTGCCCCAACACAGAATGATGCTGCAAGTCAATTGCATCCCATCGCTTTGTAACTCAGCGACACAAACCTGTTTTCTTCTGCTTGTAATCCCATGTAGACCCCGAGTATATACTTAAGCTCACACCACTGGGCTGGCTGCACCTTGCCTTTTCTGGCCCGCCTCCCACAACATCCCATGGCCTGACCGTTCTGTGTCTCGTGTTCACACGGCCAGTGCATGGGGGATCATGTCCATGCTGTCCATGGACACCAGCTTTGTCGTCGCTTTGTGCCGGGCGGTTGTCGTAGCGTCACACGTTTTGTCCCTTTTGAGGGTCCGGGCATCGAGGATCATGTTGACAATCTTCCAGAGGCCGGATACGCAGACCTTGCGGTGAACTGGTTGATAGAAGAAAAAGAGAAAGAGAGAAAACAAGGAAGGTAAATAAGGCCCCTTACGTTTGCCCTCGCGGGGCTCCGCGGGGAACAACCATTGCCCTTACTTTAGAGGGGGCCTTACCTTCTTTCCTTCCTTCCTTCCTTCCTTCCTTCCTTCCTTCCTTCATCTCTGTTCCTTGTATTGAATGCTCTGCATTATTATCTTCATTCATGAGGTCGGCAGTGTGAGTGAGACCTGTGAGCCTCACAAACTGCCCAGCCAAGGACTTCCCAAGGTGAGGTGACCCTAACCACCGACTGACCTGCTGTAGCAGCACGCGTCAAAGGAGCAATGTGACTCTGGGTTTACTAGTCACCAGCCTCGTTTGGAAGATATTCACGCTGCTCATCCTCTGCTTTTGGCCGAAACACCATAAATTATGAGGAACACTTCTTGCTTTCGTGAAATTCTATAGGCGTACCAAAGTCAGGAACCAGGAAGGCCAACTCAGAATAGCTGTGGAGCTGAGAGAAAACGGTCCACCTGCGCATATCGCACATCTGCAACGGTATTGTAAGACGGAGATCCCCAGCCAATGGGTGTTGGTCTATTTCCCTTCTTCCAGGGTCTTTGAGAGGTCTTATTCATATACTCACCAATCAATATAAAACACCACAGTCTTCAAATACAAACAGCAAAGTCTGCGAAGCTCGATGAGATCTGTCTCACTGTCATTGGCGCTAGCACCACTTTTAGCAGCCGGTGACAGGTGTCAGACTGCTCAACACAGATATTGATATTACAAGGACTTGTGCGCTGTGCATGACAATCTGGTCATGAGCGAGGCAAACCTACCCTTCAAAACTTGGAAAAAAATATATACTCTACTTGACATTGACCTGGTTGCTGCCACCACTGCCACTACGGATCTGCGATCCCCGGCATTCGCCACCAGGACTAACATGGCGATGCCCCAAAACCTGTCGAGCAGGGCTAACACATCGCTCAGTCCATGGACCAGAGATGTATAACAGCTTGGAGTCTTAGATGCCAAGAGAATATGACAAGGGGATCTATATATATATATATCATCCAATCATCCAATACCACAAAAACAAGCATAGGCCGGTTCTTTTTGAGAGCACTTGTACAGGTCAATCGTTTCGCGCATTCTGGCTCTATCTTTACAAGTGCTTGGGTATACCAGGTAGAGGGGCTAGTTCCAGCTGACCATCAACAGAGCTCAAAAGAAGTGTGGACCATGCTCTTAGCAGCAAAAGAATACAAATTTATAGGCCTGACAAAGCCTCAGAAAAATAAAAATAAGTGTCGCCCTGTTTCTTCAGTTTTACATGTCTGGGTGCTATATACAAATTGCATAAATATACTGTATATAATATATATATATATGTTTGTGTGTGTGTGTGTGTGTGTGTGTGGGGGGGGGGGGAATCAAGAAACAACAGAGGCTGCCTTGCTGATCAACCAAATAGATCGAAAAAAAACTCTGCGAGTAGAAAACCAACTCAAAGTCAAACAAACATCCCACCCCCAAAAAGTTGGTTAAAGTGGCGTTTAACTTAAGCAGGTATTAGGAATTCGTGTTGTGCTTTCTCAGAGTATTTACATGATTTTTGTGGGTCCCTTCACAGCTAAAATCTCCGCTCGGCCGCCTTTTCACAGCTGCACGCAGGACTTTGGCATCACGTCTGGGGGGGAACATCGCTGGACTTTGGCAGCCAAAGGATGCAAAGGTCAAGGTCCCGAGAGCCCAAAGCTAGAAGCTGGCAGAGACATTGAAGAGTAAACCCTGGACAATAGTGTTCGTCTCCAAAGCCGCGGTGACAGCACTTTGGGGCCGGATTTCTTAGGTTGTCCTCTCATCCAGCAGGGCATTTGCATGTCTCTGGGAGAAGATCACTTGGCCCCAACGAGGAAAAGCATCGGGGGGCACTGTTGACTTGATCTTCGCTCCCGGCTACCAAATCCGAAGATTGTGGCTGGCGATCAATCCTCTTTACATTGGATCTTAGCAGCCTGAGCTGCCCCGGCTGTCCTGAAGTTCTTTTAGAACTAACAGGAACTTCCCATGGGCAAAAATTAGAATCGGTCAAGTCTATCAGCGTCGACCCCTTCAAGCAAGCCTCTCTTGCGATGTTCGAAATCCCGCCCTACACCGGGCACTTTGGTCAGTCTATCAGATTCTATCAGCACACCGTTGTTCTTGCCATGGCTTTCACGCCACTGGTATGCTGTTGTAGTCCAGACTATTTCCACAAGAAATAAAGTCAACGTCCACCCTGCTTATCTCACAGGGTTGAGAAGGGGTCACCCCTCCTTAATTCACCCTACCTACTAACCAGTCTCGACCATGTCACTCAGAACCACGCCCGCAGCACCACCGAAAAGCGTGGTGGTAAATGACCTGAAATTGAATGATTGAGCTGACATGCAGCGAAAATGGATGGAGGGACCCTGGAGTTCAGCCTCCAACTTGGATCCTGCCTTCTACCTCTGAGGACCCAGAGTACAGAGTCAATCAAAACGGAGACGATCATCACCAAAAAAGGGAGTTGGTCAGGGGAAGGGTGAAGTTCCCCAACAATCAAGCAGGACCTGTGGTTTCAGCGTCAAGTTGTTCCACGAGAAAGCTCGAAACAAATCAATGGTCTTCTTGCAACAAGCTGTAATTAGTGGTACAGGAAAAAGTCACCAACCCTGAAGGATTGGAAGATGGCCGCTGATCATCAAACACTGGTGCGCCAAATCCTGGTGCGCCCTCTCTCTCTCTCAGACTAGTGAGCCGGGAGACAGCCGAGCGGTCTAGATGTGCATCGCCTTGCCGATGGCTCCCGGCGCCCCGAGTTTCGCCGCATGGAGATGGGCGTGTCGTTCTCTCCGGCGAAGTTGCGGAGTTGAGTTGTTGATGAGGCAACCACTCAAAGAAAAAAACTATTGGGAGGCTGACCTATCAAGAAAGTCATGTACAAAGAAGGATGGCAGGAAATGCTGGCTGGTGGCATTCTTCCGTGTAAAGAAATGAGATGGCAAACATGGATCTCTTTGGTGGTATCAAGTAATGTATGTCTCAAGTATCCTCAAATAGCTGCAAAAATCATGTGGAGCAGAACAACCCCCGGAATGACGAATGATAGCTCACGGGGAAAAGTAGAGCCAAACTTTGCTTTGGCTGTGATTCTTTTGTCCACAATCTGGATGCTACTAGGTTACTAGGGGCTCCTGGCATCGCTACTAGACGGGGCTCCTGGCCTTACTACTAGGAGCAAGGACGCTACTAGGGGCTCCTGGCATCGCTACTAGTAACAAGAAGCTACTAGGGGCTCCTGGCCTTACTAGTAAGAAGAAGCTACAAGTACTAGGCGGCGGGTGCGAGAGTGGAGCAAACCACATTCAGGTGCTCTAGATCACTGAGAGCAACGTGAACAACTGCCGTTTTGAGAAATGCCACGCGTGACCAACTAGAAGAGCTGAGTCCATAATTCAGCATCAATCTTCGGTGTGTTCCACTCAACCATTATGCAAGTTACCTTGCCCCGAGACACATAGATGATTCGTCCACTGGGAGTTAAATGGCATGCCCCAACTGTCAAGGGAACGTCAAAAAGGTGTTGTGTGTTTCCATGGTTACCATATGTTACCACGCTTTATTCTGGCTGAACTCCTTGGTTGACAATTGCCCAAGTTTGGTTTCAGCTGGTATATCCTGCGAAGAAGGTGCAGTCACAGCCAAGAAGGAGAAGGCCAAGATCACTGCAGAGGCATGCGAGTAAGCCGCCTGGCTGGAATCCAGTACTGTAAGAGAAGTAAGCGCTGGCGAAGCCAGTCCTAGGTCCTAGGTTCAACTGCCATGCCCAAATGTCTCAATTCTTTCTTTGATGGGCTGATTTCAGGAGAATATCGGAAGAGCACTTGCACAGAGGCGGTTGGTAAAATGATGCCAACAAAGGAGAGAGCTCTAGCTTGTATTTCACCACAGCCCAAAAACCTGTGTTGCTTCCCTCTTTTTGCTTTTCGACCCCTTGGAGACTGTGTTCTTTCGACCCCTTGGAACGAATCAGGGAGTAGCATGGCACAAATGTGCCTCTTTCTCGACTAGACTAGACAAACTTTTGACCCAGCAGCTCACATTCAGGTTTGGAGCCACCAAGCATCCAATACCTACGAGAACATGTTGAAACAACAACATCCAGACAGGACAAGACTCTAATCCGGGCCACAATGGGGTCACCCTGAAAAAACGAAGGTTTTCGGGGTTCACCCCACCCCAAAGCCCAAGCCATGACCAAGAGCGTGACTGGTGAAGATCCTTGACCAAGTGACCCACCAACCCGTTTGTGTGTCCCGAGTCCCCCGGTTTCGCCCCAACCTGGTCCCTGGGACATCCGGTGTGGACGATGCGGCCATCCTCCAGAAGCGTGGTCACATGCCTCGTCTGAACTGTCCGGTCGAACCAACAAAAATCCACATCCGGAGCCCGCGAAACCCCTGAAACTTAAAGGTCTTGGTCTTCCACATCTTCCACCTAGTTTGGGGAGAGAGGAACCTCAAATTCGAGCCGTTTAGAGGACTTTCTTATGTAATTCTTCCAATACCAGGTCCTGGGCGATCGAACATGTAGCAGGATTTCAAGAATGGTGGTGCTTCAAATGGTTTTTTGCCAGCATGTTTAAAATAAACTATATATATATATATGCACTTATTTGTGGAATCAAGGCTACAGGTTGCTTCTCGTTTCGGTGCACTGTCAGGACAACCACTGAGTGCCCTTGGCGTAACAGGCATCGATACGGAGTCAGGCCCCTTTCTGTCCCTTTTCTGGGGCCCGCGCGCGTTGTAGGACTGCGGGTAGTTGCCTCCAGGAAGGAAGTCATCATGGAATTGATGATAGACCTCGGCCTGGCAAAAGCACACACGGAAATGAAAAGATATACCGAATAAACTGTCTCTTGGCTTGCAGAGTCTCATTATACTGTAGGAGACGTTATGAATTAAACAATACTGTAATCAAGCCTGTTGATTCTGCTTGCTTGCTGAATATTGCATGGTTCGGGAGACTTCCAAACATCAATTCCTGGACCTCAACTTGTTAAAAACGGTCGTCTCTTGCATGTGTTTGCTTTTCGGGGGCCTTTGTGCGAGAACTTTCTATTTCAATACACACAAGCGGTTTTCATGAATGCCCCCTGCCCTGATGCCAGAGGCACCAGGCGCCTGGATGAAGGGATATGTCGCAGTGTCATAGACCCACACCAGCGCCTGCGAACCAATCCTAGCCAAAGTCTTTTGTGGATCTTTTGGCCATCGAAAGACTGAGTCAAGGGTCCCTTTAGAAACTCACAGGTCAGAGGCTCACACGCACGTCTTCAGCACACGTCGTCCCCGCATCACCAAACTGGCGCTTCACCCAAGTGGATGCTACCGCCGGTGGTCACCCCACTTGGACGTCTCGAAGGTCCGGCCAAGAGGTCAAACCGAGTGCGGTGGCTGGTTTCGTCAGGAAAACCCCATCAATATTGTTGCCAGAAGAGATGGCCTCCAACCTAATAGCGATGGCCTCCACCGAGCCGAACGCGATGGCTTCCAACCTAGTAGCTTCTTGTTCCTTACCAAAAGAATCCGCTGCCCATCTTGTGTTGAGAGAACAACACTGGCACCTCAGCCATTCCTGTTTTTTGGTGAACTTGCAAGCATGACGTGGGTGTTCACTCAAACCGCGCCAAAAAAAGTAACACCTGCACATCAGTTGCAATGAACCCAAGCAATCCCAAGCAATAGCCCTGGTCTGACGTCCAAGTCTCGACGACCCTCTTGGAAACCACAGAAACCTTGCAGACGCCCCTGCACAGCAAGTCTGTGTTCCTGTGGCTGGATCTGCCCCTTGCTGATCCTATCTAGATGCCTGATATCTAGATGCTTGCCCATGAAAAGATTGGGCTTTAGATAATAGAAGAAACCATGGTGTTCATGACTGCGAGCAGAAGAACAATCGTCTACTCCAGTTTGCCCAAGCCATCCTGACCCCGCTGCAAAGTCCTCACCTTCCCCAAGGTGTCGGGATCATCTCCCTGTCCAGCCTGGTGACACCCTCTAGGGGCTTAAACTGATTGAGTAGTTTGGAAGCTTGGAAGTCAATGTTCTCAACTGACAAAAAGAACAATGTCAATGTCTCCTCCAAAAAATATGCATGCATTTTGTATAGTAGCACTCAGTAGCACCAAGATCTTGTTCTTTGAACCTGGAACAGACAGTACATGCAAAGATTCATTGCTCCCACTTACCCTCAAACGAAAAAAGTGCCGCAAACAATACCACTCTGCATGTGCAAGAAACAGCTTCAAAATGACAAGGGCCTCTACAACCCTTGGTCAAACAACCGATCAACGACCTGGATGAAGGACCCGAATTCTCTGCCAAGATGGGTCCAAACAGCCCAAACAGCCCAGCACCCGGGATCCACTTGCCGAAGAAGTGAGATTTTCCCGGAGGTCTCTAAGGGTTTCGCGTTTTAAATCCCATGGATCCAGAACCAAACTGATAAGCAATCCAGCCTTCAGCTCGAACCACCAGCCATCACGCGCGGCCCTCCCTGACGGACACCAAAGGAGTTGGGCGGTTGTTGGCAGCTACAATGCATACATGGCCCAAGGAGTGTTATATCTAAGCCTGGATCCTAGTTCAGTAGGCTATCTACGGGGAAAAGATCTGTCAGTTCGTAATAGTATACAGTATAGTCGTAGTAGTTGAACGATGAATGCACTCCCTCGTCCCCTGCTATCCAGGTGATATTACGGCGGGTTACGGCGGGTGGCATCAATCTGGATGATGTTCTTTGCGGTTCAAACCAACCAACACTGGGAATGTTCTGAGTTCTCTGCAGAACGACGAATTGGGAACGCCACGATGGACTTCTTTGATCGTGTGCTGTTCAAGAACCCACACACCACATGGGCGTAGAAATAAAGAGATTCAAATAGATAGAAACCAAGACCCGAACGGTCAGCTCCGGCCCACTGCAACGAACCCCCAAACCCCACTCCTGCTTGGCTGGCGTTCACCACATCCATCAGCTCTGACCCAAAGCCGCCCGGCACACCGATGGCTGCACGGTACTCGGGGCCTTGTGCAGTACTTTTGGCCGCCCTCACCATGTGGTGGATCAGAACATGAAGTACTCAAGAGTGTCATGATCAGTATATATATATATATGTATATGTATATGATATAGAGATATAAATGCGTATTTGCAAAGAAATGCAAGGCATTTAAACGTGCATAGGCAACCAGAGCTCTTCCAGCTGGCTCCCCCCACACAGTCACCACATGCTATGCGCAAGCACGGCCGAGCGGCCAATGTCCATGACATCAACGCGGTCTTGTCCGACAAACAGGTCCCAGAAGACCACCGAAAAATCCGGTAGCTTGCCTCAGTTCCAATATGCTTCGTTCACTCCCGGTGGACTCGGACTGAAAATCGCTTCGTACAGCCAAATTGCCAGACTCTGTCTGTGTCTGTCTGCTTGGGTGCCAAACGAAGGTTGATCTGGATTTGGGGAGGAGTCGTGGAGCCAAGACTTTGGGGGGTTTTCTTTGTTCTGGCAAAGGGGTATGATCAAACCTTGCTCGCTCTGTCCACGCGTGTTCCATCCTTCTCAAAAGTATTGAGAAAATGGATCCAAACAGATCTTGTAACGACAAACAGTATAGTATAGCTGCCCATGAATCATTTTGGGGAGAGAGTGCGTGGAGGTTGTAAAGTCGCAAAGCCGCTTCGTGATTTGCTACTAGGGCCTACATAGAATCATTTCATTAGCAGAGTGATTACACATGAAACTATGACTATGAGGTGTTACCAGCTGAGAAACATCATCTGAACTGTGCGCTTGACAAGACCCAAAAAGTGATCCGAAGCGGCGAAAGGCGGAGAAAAGCTTTGAGACCTCTCATTTCCCGTGACGCCCCGCATCTTGTGACGGTTGGGGATGTAAACTGTAATCCTGCATCTAGGAAAGTCAAAACTGTCCCTAGGTCCTAGATCGGTCTTTTGGGTTGTGTGCGAGAGGATCTCTAATGCAAATGCCACCTGAACAGTTTCAGCTAATGTCGATCTGTTTGATGATCACTATGTTTGTATGTATACATACGTGATCCTCTCTTCAGAGTTCTTGTATGATTTCTGTCTTTCTGCATGCGAGTGTCCAAAGTTACACCCATGAAAATGGGTGCAAAATCTGCCCATCACACAGTTTGAGGACCAACCCACGGGAGCCAGAACCGCCCACCAGTGGGGAAGTCCTTCCACGTTTAGTCCGTTTAGTCCGCTGAGCATCTGGTCGGGATGGTGAAGCCAACCACCTGGGGTTCTTTCGAGGTCAAGCAGGAACTGGGGGGCGCAAGACCAACAAATGAAATCTCCTACTCCAATCCTTACACTCCGAGGAGCACATCACATGGAAGTGGAGTGAAACCCTGTTGGTAAAACAACATCATCATCCAAACTTCCATGCCATCCGCTTCCATGTTAGTGAGTTGGAGGGCAACTTCTTCAACTTCTTATTGATGATTGATGGAGCTTCTCAATCAAGTGGTAAGATAAAGATTGAGTGCTCGATTCATATCTCACGTGCTGGATGGCCCCCTTCGTGACAGGCTCAAGATAAAGTCAAGGATCTTTTCTTCCACGAACGGTTTCTTTCTGGGTGACACATGTGGTGCGAATCCCTTTGAATTGCTCACAACCCATGGATTCCATCCAGTGTCTTGTTTATTAGATGGCAAGCTCTATCATAGTTGAGCCCACTACATAAAATAGGAATGGCCTCCAACCTACTAGCTATGGCCTCCAATCTAGCAATGGCCTCCACTAGCAATGGCATCACCAAAGCTGCAAAAAGCAACTTAACATCCATTGGTCGCTTCTTCCGACCTTGCCTGACACTGGCCTGACACTTGCCTGACTCCGACCTTGTTCGACTCCTGGCCTCGGTGTGTCCCAAGCGGCCGTAGTCGTCGTAGCAGGCACTCTGCATGGCATTGAGGCGGTTCCCTCCCGCATAGCCTCAATGCTGGCTGCACGAGGAGAGGACCGAAGGACGAAGAAGTGCCCCAAGGGTGGGGCAATCTGTGAGGTCAAGGAGCAGCATTGCTCTTTCGGTTCAGGGCTAGCGGCTAGCGCGGCTAGCTCTTCCACCAACAAGTGGGTGCATAGTTGCTGGGGGACAAGTGTCTGGCTTTCAAGGGGTTTGGGGGTCGTCGTGAGTCAGTCATCGCTTTGATTCACAAGCCCCCTTTGCATGTTTCTTTGCTACAGTAAAGCCTTGCATCAGCTGCAAACCTCTTCACTCTGCACTTTGTGCCTGCCTGTGGCTGTTTTGCTTGGAAGAACTAAGAACACGAAGTCCGAAGCAATGGGAATGTTCTGGGTAGTCGAAAGACTGACATCTAAAGTACATATTTTGTATGTCCCACGGTCTCACTATGAGACTCTGGGCCATCCGGCATGCCTGCCTTGCTACTGGTCACACGCCTGCCCGTCCAAGACATCAACTTCAAGGGCTCAGAAAACTCAGAAGAGTTGTTGCTCCCTGCATCAAGTGGGGGCGTGCAGAAAGCTGAGGGGGGTTGCAAAGGATACTGCTGGCAGTACCAGGTGTAGGGTGCCACGAGCACCATGTTTGCTCAATGAACTATAGACCCTTGAGGTCATGACCAAGACCATGGCAACCTCAAGGGTCAATGGAAATCGAGGCGGGGGCTCAAAGCAAAAACACCACCACAACAAAATCGACCACGTCAACCACATTATATAACCCACAACAACAACAACAACAACAACGACAACGACAACGACAACAACAACAACAACGACGACAGCCAATGTGTGCTCAAAAATAACTGACCAAAAATCTCCACACTGTCCTTCCTTCATCTGGAAGCTTCAAAAGTATACAACAAATATACATGCAATAAAGACGCAGGCACAAATATATATATATATATCAGCAAATCATACGAGATCGCATGATTGATTCCTGGGCAATCAAACACACGAAAACTGTAGATGCTGTGACACCACTGTGGGAATTTTCCACAGACTGAACGGGTGCAAGTACCGTGATCATCTGCCAAGAAACCGGTCAGTGACGTATAACTGGACACATTGCCTTGGCAAGAAAGCTCAGGGTCCAGAGACGTGTTCAAAACTCAAGCTCGTATCACGATTATCCCACGTTATCTCCCTCTTAGCTGCCCTACCTTTCCGTTTTCACCAGCAATGTTTGAATCCTAAGTGATCAGGACAAGATTCATGTGAAATACAAATTTGATAAGGTTGCTATGTTCATAGACCAGCGCAGAGCTGACAATTCGCCCCATCTATTTTGTGGTGTGATTTGCTTCAACTGTTCTCACTAACCTTTTCAAACGAATCATGTCCACTCGAAAGAGCCTCAAGGTCTAACTTGGCACGACAGAACCATGGAATTCTACTTGCTCAATTTTTGGATCCGCAGAAAATCGAAATGGACCATGTATATAGTAGTCACACCGTGTAAGAAATCAAGATCACCGACCCAAGTTGACCAGGTCGTGTATGAAGTATACACATTCTTGGTGGTAAATGGAACATGTTCTATGTCCCTCAAAATGAATCTACACAGTAAAATTGGGCAAACTTACGATTATATTCAATATGCTATCTGAATATGTAACATGTAGGACTCACTCAAGAGTAGGGTCCATCAACATGCAAGTGCACAGCAAAGGCCAAAGTCTCCATGTTGACGTTTGACATCACAAAACCTGTCGCGTGCACACGCGGTTTTGACGCACCTGGCTCTTTTCACCGCATGTCCACCTTGCGCGCGCAGGGCTCTGCGTCGGGGGGCGGCCCAGGATGGTCTCTTCGGCTTTGATGAATTCATGCTGCACGTGCCAGAAGCCTCAGAGACAATGGGAGGCTCACGACCCACACAAATAGTTCCAGGATGTTATCCGCCGAACCGCCTAGCTCTGCTTTTCTGGTTCTTTCTTAAGGCTTGACGCTCGCTAGCCATGCGCCAAAGCAAAAGCTCTTGTTCTACGGTGTTCAACCGCTGCCGTTTAGCTGTGGCGAAAATTGCAAAACCATGGGGCCAAAGCGAGCTCCACAGCTGTCTTTCCTCAATCAGCGACAGAAGATCCACCTGAACAACCGTGAACAACCTGACATAAGCTTCCGGAAATCGATGTTTTTACTCTTTTGCCGTGCAGGAGTGCGATGTTGCACTGCAGGGTTAAGAGTACAAACCTTCTCTGCAGGAGTACAAACCTTTTGCCTTTCAGTGATTAATTGTTTGTTGCCGTTGTCCCTGCAATAACTTGGAGAAGAACATGGGAGAGGAGTCTATGCCGGGGGCGGTGACATCGATGTTCGTGTGATGGATGGTATTTCCAGCACTCCCAACAGAGATGCCAACTTGCACCAGGAACCTTTTCTGCAACCGCAACAATAAAACTAAGACAGGCTTGCCAAAGAAGTTCTTGATTCTATTGTGACACTGACATGGAACAAAGAGTGAGTCATTGATTGTTCCCGGATGTCAAATTTACAGTTTGCGCTTCCAGAAACGGACGGGCTTGGAGATTGTCAATCGCCTTGAACCTGCCTCTCGTGAACCTGAACGTAAGCTGAGAGTGTTAAGGTTTGCACTGCAGGGGAGGACTCATCACCGCCGGACAACAACTCCCCCTGATACTTGACAGCAACATTTGAGACAAAGAAGCTCTTTATTTTATACAGTATGTTATTTAAGAGAGAAAGCCGTGAACCAAAGCCAAACCATCTACGAGGGCGATCTCTAAGAAGCTGGACCAGCTGAAAAACGCTTCGACCTGGAAAGGTCTGAGGTACAGCTTTGGCACATGGGGAGAAGAGCACAAGTATGGATTGAAAGTTCAAGTTTCTGATCTTTCGTCATTTGTCCTTTGTTGTTTTAACGCGATTGTCGCTTGCAATGTTGTGCTGCGCAATTCAAGCAATGTTTTCCTTAAAAATGGGACGGGGTCAGCAGCACCTGGGTGGTAGCCCAATATATATATATAATACTATATGAACTTCTTGCTATTAGGTTGGAGGCCATCGCTATTAGGTTGGAGGCCATCGCTACTAGGTTCCATTGATGTAGGGACATCTCACCATGTCTGAAGGAATTGCTCGCTGCATGTGTCCAAATGGGGACGAGGTTGGAGGGAGCGCAATCTTTTTAGTTGCATATCCATATTGCTCGTCCCTCAAACAAGAAAAACAAACAAGAATAATGGACCACAAAGAAAGAGCTTCGGGCTTCTCTCAACAGGATCGTTGTATGTACTGATTGGAGAATTGCAAACAATCGCAAAAAAACTCACAACTGTGTATGCATTCTACAGTTGATTGTCTTGTCCGCGGCAGAATCCTGAATATAACTTTGGCTGTGCTGAACTCTGTGCTGGAAGAGTGACTAAGTTTTGTCCAGTGGGTGACCTACAAGCTGTATTGAAGTGAGTGGCAAACAAAGAACTAACTTGTAGGTTTTTGCCGACAATCAAGTCATAGAGTCATAGAGCTTTGTAGAGCCTGTCTCGAGCTGTCACTGTGAGACGCACGTCAGATTGTCTCCAAGCGGCAGCCCGAGCCGAAGTAGACTGAGATGCTGGGGTCCTTGCAAGCCATGAGTTGTGCCCACAAGTGTATATAGAAAATGGATCGTCGAGAGGAACAGGACATGGTCGTGGGCTTCAGGAACTGTGCTCACTGGTCACCTATAACCCATGTTCCAAATCCCTGTGGCTGCTTTTGAGCCAGCTTTGGGGTATATTATATATGTCACGAAAAGAAGATACTGTAGATCCCTAAGCAGGATTTGCGGAGGAAACACCAAACACCAATCTTGATAAATTGAAAGGATTTTTTCCATTTGACCCCTACCTTAATTTTCTTTTGAGCTTGCTACCCCCCTGCTCAACTCGAGCTTTCTCGGTCTCCACATGGCCAATTGTATGGTTTAGCTTCACTGTGTGAAGCAAAATACAGAGAGGCTTCAACCGCTCAAGAAAACTGTGTCATTCTTGAAGATTGGAAGTGAGATTGGCTTGAGAGGCTTCAATTTGCAGTGCCTTCATGGGAACTCAATTCAAGCCAATACGTGTTTCTTATGTTTGTTGGAGAACCTCCACTTGTAATGGGTCGCCAGTCTGGTTGGACCGTGAGCAACCAAGATTAAAAGCACTTGAGAAAGCTTCATTGCTATGTGTTTAAATAGAAGCTATTTCTTGATCAGTATTCACTATTCGCGTCCGTGGTAGTTTGCATTTCAAGCCATTTCATTTGTGTTCAATCTCCCAAAGATCTTGGCAGGGCCGGGGCCAATGTACCTTAAGCTGCAACAGCTGTGGCAGGTTCTGATAAACAGTTCTGTCGGGTTCTGACTGCCCAAAAGCCTCTCCTGTGCCGCAGAAATGCCGCAAAGAGCTGCTAGCAGTGCTACCCAAGTGCCGCTGTCCATGACGAGCAAAGCAAAGGAAATTGAAGACTGTCTGACCTACTTGACCGAAAAGACTTTGTGGAAAGACTTTACATTGTAGTCCAACTGCTCGTTCAGGAGTTCCAACTCTGAGTCTTTGATGTTGGTTCATTTGCAAGCTTGAATAGCGTACTTCTCATCAGAGCTTCAGCACCATTTCCCATTGTGCTCTCTCAGCAAGAAGCTTTTTGACGATGAAATCTTAAAACAGCGGTTGTCGGAGATGGGGAATAATTCCCTTGCCCATTAAAAGATGTTGGCTTTGAAGCCCGATTGAGATGAGTGATCACTTGTCAATATAACCGTAGACAGTATAGTCTAAAGGGGCTACCCTCTCCAGACTTCTTTTAAAGATTTCAAGAGAAGGCAGGTGTCCTGAACGCTAACACTCATGCGGTGTTTGATCGCCGCCGACTGGCTTATCCCGTCGACACACGCGGTGCGGCCTCAATCGCAGCACCACGTTGGCCAGAGCATGACCAACCAATGGAACCTCGACAAAGGAACAGGCAAGAATAAATCACAAAAGCACAGGCAAGATTCCCTTGCTGCTGGTTTTGGCATGATGTTGGGGCCCTTAAATGTGGAGGTCGAATCACCGATCATGGCGAATAGTCCGAGACTGTTGTCGGCTGCTGATATTGCTGAATCCCCCCTCCACATGAAATCAAGGCTTTGTGAATCCTGGTGCTGGCACCTCAGCGAATACTGTGAGGATCCCCGAGTCGCCTTTTCTTACCCACGTTAAGTATGAAACTTGCCCGCAATAAACACCAAAACACACTTGTGGGATCCTTCTTGATGTCCTCTCTGAATAAAATGCTGAATCTCTTCCAGGAACTCAGAGTACCACCGCCAGGCATGAAGAATTTTGGTCAGTTCTCTCTGTCGTGCATACTACAGAAATTGTGGAAAAGTAAGGAGTGCAAGAAGCCTCTTCCCCCATCTGACAGTGTATCACTGTCCAAATCCTCCTCTCTTGGGTCGACTACAACGCTGTTTTCTCCGTGTCCACCGTTTACCTTCGATGCCAGCGGCCTGATGCCAAGCGCGGCTCCAGAGTGTGGTGATGAGGTCATTCTGTTCACTATCGCAGGCCCCTGGCAGGCGGACAAGGATCCCACCCACTTCGTGATCCCCATTCAGGCACCATGTCAATGTACATGTGAACAGCAAGAGCCTGCACAAGCCTTAGGCATTGCTGATGTTCATCAAGCCGATGTATACATGCTTGGCGTATATCCCATTCCCTGTAACAGTGAATGATGATGGTTAGTAAAGGCCTTTCTCGAAAATAGTATATAATGGTTGTCTACCAACTGTGACAAATCACAGGACCCCCCCAATACATACTCACACTCACACTTCAGGCGGCCACTTGTGGTATAGCTAATATTTTTCTTGAGGGTTGCATGGCAAACCAGCAGCACTGGACTGAGATGAGCGGGGGCACGGTGAGAACACATCAGGCTTAGGAGGAAAGCTGCTGGTGCGTTGATTGGTACAAGCCTGGTCATTTAGACATATCACGGGTGGACCAGAAAATGCTTAGCTTGGTACCTACCTTTCCAGACTTGCGATACCACACATCCAGAAAGGGTTCTCTGACAGCGCCACATGTTGGTTGGTGACTTTGAAAAAGGTCCACATCTTTGGATGGAGTTCGGTCCAAAACCTACCGGAAAAAAAACAAAATAAATAAATAAAACAGAAAACCTCCCCATGGTGAAACCTGTACAGCCACCATGAGCACCGACCGATCTTCTATGAAAGGGTTGGTAGCGGAGCGCGGCCGACGTCCTCGCGTAGACGACCCGCCGGGAGGACAAGCGATGAAAGGAAAGGCCAAATCCTCAGAGCCAACGAGCCAATGAGGAAACAGAGAGATCGACACAAGGATCCTTGTCGTAGCAAGAACCAGAAGTACCGTTGAGGAGCAAAGACTCCAAAGGCTCCTTAGCTTGTAGGTAGGAATCCTCTCAGTTCGACGGGCCAATCAGAGCCATAGCCTATCAAAATTCCTCAGGTCATCAATCATCAACAATATTACTTATATTCTGTATAAGCAAATCTTCCTGAAAGTGGATGGATCGAGCTGAGCTCATTGAAGAGGGCCTCCAGTTTTGGACTGAAAACTTAAAAACTTGACCTTACTTGTCCTGGTCGCCTGAATGCAGTCAACCACCCCTTGAAAAGCGCCACAGCCGTTCGGTCGGATGTTCTCATGCTGTTTGGTGCCCAAGGGATGTTGTTTGTCAGCTAATCCAGTGTTGTGCAACCAAATGTGTCCATCGTTAGACAACTGGGCACTCGATGGGTGAACAGAAGGTACTAACCATTGCTGGCTTGTCAAGAAATACTGTGCCCTCAGCCGCAGCCTTCCTGAGCCATTGGCAGTGTAGAGATCCGCGTCCTCCAATATGCCTGCGGTCGTTCACGATCCTGGAATCTTAGGTTGAGTCATGATCTTCAACTTCTCAAAAGTCCAAGTTCCCCCACCCCAGAAAACCCCTGTGTCTTCCAGGTTGTGGTTTTCGGGAATCTTCTCGACCCAAAAACTTCTCGGAAGCCCGGTTGAACTGGCCCGTAACACCTGGACTCAAACAAGAAAAATCTGAGATTCCACGGATGAGGTGTCTCAGACCCAGCGATTTTGACCCTTTCAGATGGCGTGTTGAGCCCTTGAGGATGACGGTCTCGCTTCCTGGAGCGTCTCAATCCTCAAAACTTAGCACCAGGCGCCCCCACCGAGCAAAACACACCGCCGGCGGCTTGCCAGGACCCCGAGCTGCCTGGCATGAAGAGTGGATCTGAGGGATACGCAAATGGGCTCAGATCCCAAAAAACAATTCGGATGACCGTTTCAGAGGGTGATGTTGAAACCTGATTTGGACGGTGTATGTCTACCTGTACGCATGTGTTGCAAGACCTTCGGACAACTCCCAGCTTTGCTGTGAAGCTCGTTAAGACATGGTGTGAAAAGGATCACAAATGCACGGAAGATGTTTGTAGAAGTCTGATATTCAACCATTCCTGCACATCCCACAATGGAAACTGAATGAAAGTGTTGTCGAGGTGAGAAGAGGAGGGAACAAAGCTGGAAATCCAGAGGCCAAGAAAGAGGTCATTCTCCAGAAGCATGACTGGAAACATCCATCAAGAGACGGGTGACTTCGGGCTCCATGGGATGTGGGCGATCTCCAGCTCGGCCAAGCCAGCTCGGCCGAGCCTTGGGGATCCTTGTGGATGGCCCGTGGAGGCCTCCGGCCCCCGGACCCCGGACCTCATGCTTACTTGAGTAATAGGGCGACTAGGGCGACTACTAGAAGAGGAGCGAACTGGACGCAACTGGACGCAGGAGAGCTCATGGCTCCGAGATTTTGAGGGAGACTTACATACATTAGCTGTGATGAACCTGAGAGGAAGAGAGGACAGGACTGAAGAAGAAACGAAGCCCAATCTTTTCGGGCATGTCTAGCTGAACTTCGTCTGCTTTTAAAATCGGTGGGAATGACTTTGATCTGCTTGTCAGCTGGACAGGAGCACTAGGAAGAAAGGGCTCAGAGCAATGAAGACCGGTGTGTTTTGTGTCCCAAGCAAGCTCTTACAGGTGACAGTTCTTGTTCATGGCTCTTGTTCTCTATCAGTGTTGTTTCCTCTGAGAACCATCAGTGCAGAGGAAAGTTCAGGCTCACAAAATGATGTGTAAATCATCAAAATCTCCCATCGCTTCTGGTAAGTTTTTGAATTTGAGCCATTTGTTCAGTGTCTTGGAGTCATTGGAAGCAGTCAAAGTGAAGAGGCCTTGGCCAGGATGTCTTGGCATCTATCATCTACCCACACAATTCTCCTAATGGCAGCAACACAATGCCAACAGCTGCAAAAAGCTACACCATGAGGAATCAAAGCTTGAATTTTGCCAGGATTTGAAACCTGTCCCGGGCACCTCAAGACAGAGAGCTCCGGTGGAGACACAAGCTCTCGAAGTCCAGCCCATGCACGCCTTGTTTCGACCGGCCCCAAGTGTGGCGTCCAAATGGTACAAATAGATGGCCTCCAACCTAATAGCAATGGCCTCCAGAATCGAGAGTAGGATGCACGCCTTGTTGGCACAACACTTTCAACTGCATTCTACTTCCTTCTCCTTCCTTTACCTTCGGTGAGCAGTTTGCTACCAGAGGCTACAGGTTGGGAGCTGTGACTTTTACATCTTGTGCCCGGCTCCCTCAACGTGCTAGGCACCAACAAACAAGGCAACACTCATCAATGTGGGTCAAAACCTGGGGCCCCAAAAACCTAGTAGGTTGACCTCCCTCGTAGTCTATTCTGTACCCCCGGTTTTGACCCACAGCCATGCCAGTGCAGAACAAGAAGTGCAAAATGTCTGAGGCGGCAAGAATTGCTGGAAAATTGGGTCTCCCGGCATCTCAGCCCAGATGTGATGAATCTCCAAGGCCAGAAGCAGGAACAAGGACCCTGGCAGCGCGATGGCCATAAGACACTGGGACTTGAAAGCGGCCAAATGGTACTAACCTCGCCTTACCTCCCACCCGGCTCCTGGTATCGGTTGAAACACCTGAAAGGATATGGTTCCTGCAACAGCAACTTGCTCCTTGTATTTAGTCCAGGTCCATAGCTGCAGAGCGTTTGTGTCTTAGAAGATGACAGTTCAAGGCCTTGGTTATTCATGAGTTCCTTTTGGTGACTCATCCCATGTCCTGCTTCAGAAAAGAAAAACATCAGAATTGTCTCCCATACTAGGTGCCTCCGAGCAAGCCACGCTACACTGCTTCACTTCGTGCCCATCGCATCATCTGAGCATCCCCAGCAATTGGTGTACCCATGGGAGCAGGTCGGCTCCAAGGCCGGCACGAAGGCCTACATGAGGAAGGCTCAGAAAGCGAAACGAATTTGGGAGAAACCCTTCGGTTCGAATACCAAAACAATTGTGGAAAAATAGACCAATCAACAAACAAACCATGTTTCTGCGCCTGTAATGCGATGCAACCCGGCAGTACGACCTG